GGGGAGGCGAGCCTAACCTTTCCCTCCTGCTCCAGTTGTCCCCCGGAGGAGGGTTTTTGTTCGCTCCTCTCTGATTGTCACGCGGCCGCCGACCTGCTAAGATCGCGGCATCAGATTGCCACCGTTTGGCTCGTACCACCTGGGAGTGAAAGGTGTTTCTTTCGACAACGAGCAGTACCCCCCTGTAGCAGCAGCGCTGCAGCCTGCAAGTAAAAAGCAAAGGTTACGCGCAGCCAACCATCCAGCTGCGTCAGGGGGATGAATAAAACAACTCGGATTCTCTGTTCTGCTCGGAGTCTTGTCTTCAGGCAGACAAGAGGCAGCATCAGTGTCTTGTAAAGAAAAGTGTTCCTACCTCCACCCCCCACCCCCAGGACCCCTCCAAAATCCCCCGCGACAGGCAGTGCCTTTGCTTCCACTCACTTCTGACCCCTGACTACTTTTGCTGTAGCCTGACAAGGCTCCGGAGAATAGAACATCTCAAATTCCCACATCTCACGTTGTACATCCCTGCTCTCGTTCAGACTGAATCTCCTCTCAGGCCACAGTCCACTGTAACCTCCTACTCCAGCGTTCAACTCAGAGTCTCTTTTTACCTTATTTTATCACCCATTACCACCTAAACCAACTTATGTCTCCTGTGAGACCAGGGCATTCATGAAATACTGCAAACACAGCTTCAGGAAGGCACCTTCCTTAGGACCCTCATGCTTGAATTCATACAACGTTCTCCTCATGCTCCTTTTCGTTGCGTCTGCAGGACGTCATTTTTCTCCTCACTTGGCGTGAGGTCAGTCAGGACGTTTGCCCCAGAGCCGGCTGGATGGAGCTAAGGTCACCTCAGCTGAGGTCGTCTGTGTCTAAACTGGAACCACCCTCTAGGTTTCTCGCTAGCAGAAGCTTGATAAAACCCTTTCACAGACTTTTTCAGCTCGTCTGAGTAGGAGAGGAACTCACACAAATAAACATCTATCTTCAGCCTGTGTGGTGGGAGAGAAAGGGCTGGTGGGTTCCTCTAGATCGAGACCCAGCACTTTTGGAGTAAGAGAGACCGAACTTAGTGAAGTATCTAGAAGAACATGAAGAGGAGGAAGGAAACCCATCCTGCAAAGCCCAAACTTCCCCAGTACCAATCCGCTGCAGCCAGAAAGACTCTCTGTGGAGGAAACAGAACTACAGGAACACAGTTACTCCAGAAAATATGCAAGGGTAGCAGCCTTGAATTGTCCATGAGCACATCAGTATGCTGTGATTTCAAATTTCTCAAAGAGTCCTTCTTACAGGAACGCTCATGTACCCATGGCAGTGGAGATCTCTGGACACATCTCATCCTTGTCACCACAAACAAACAAACAAACAAATAAATGAAATGGACAAGAAAGGTTCTACTTTTCCCTCTCCTCTTTGTATCAAACACTTCAAATTGCTGGGAACCATAAAGAATAAAAAACAACTTCAGAAGAAAAACAAAGTTCCAAGAATCATCACAGCTCAGATTTTTATTCAACAGCGAAGTTGAAGGGAAATATTTTTTCCCTTCAGGGCAAATGTTCCAAATGGAAATTAAGTAAAAATATTGTCCCCCAAAAGTACTCACAATGAAGTTAGTTTTCATTAAATATATTTGTTTGGCAAAATAAAATAAAAAAGAATTAGAACCCGTACAAAAAAAAATCCCTTGCAAATTCATAACACTGTAGCAATGACAACAATGTAAACCTGGATGTTTGGCAGTTGTAATTAATTTGTGGAAATTACTGTTGAACTTTGGATCAAGAAAATAAAAATCACTTTGAATAGCAACAAGCCAATTTTAGAGGCAACTGAGGCTTAGGGAACGCTACAGGGGTGGGACACACTAGTGGCTTCATACACAGTTTGTGCCAGTGATCTGCTAGTGTGGGGCTATTTAAGAGCTGGGAGGAAAAGAAGTTAAAAGCTGTCGCAGCATTGCAGCGTATGGTACAGCAAACACCTGCAGACTTTCCATTCTGGAAGCCGGTCAGTTGGGTGAAGGCCGGTGGCAAGAGTCGAGATGACAGTGGAAAGAATAATGGCAGTGACGAATGGTGCAAGCACTGGGAGGCAGTTAAGGATTTTTGTCATTGCATTGGATTCGGTTGTGAGCAGACTCTTGGGAGTGTCTGGGGAAATCTTCTGCTTACAGTAGCTGCTTCTGCTCCCTACCTCCCTCCTCCTTCCAGTTAAGCCTCTGCCCTGCCAGGTGGGTTTCACAGGCATGCAGCTTGATAACATCGTCCTTTAGTTAAGAATGTCTATTCCAGTATTAAAAATGTAAAAAAAGTTCTCGGGAGGGTGCTTCTTAGTGGCAGTCTTTGCTTTAAGCAAGGCCAATGGCCTGCAATTACAAGTTAATTAAAGCGATGTGGATTCGGATGAGCAATGGGGAAGATGGGAATGGGAAAAGAAGGGATGCAGGGAACAGGAAGGAATGCAACTGTGTCTACACCCCTCCCCAAAGCCAAAATCCAAGGTGCACAAGTGGGTTTCTTTTTTTCCTCACACTCTTCTTTTTTTTTTTTTTTTTTAATATCTCTCCAGTTATAGTATTTCCAGTTTTGAAGCAAGTTTCAGTGGCAGCCTCAGTTACAGTCATAAACAAAGTCGTAGTTGCTGGGCTCCTTTGGGATAGGTGGGGGAGCATCTGGGATCTGTATGTTTTCCAAGTCAAGAAGGCGTAGCTTTATCTCCATGCTGAGCAGCGTGTCTAAGTCGTTCCGCGTTAGATCACTCAACATATCCTTCCCAAGGAGGGCGTTCAGCCCATCGGTCCATACACAATACTGCACAAGAGAAAGAAAAAAACTATCATTAATAGACTTTCTGTACATAAACTGCTTGTCTGGCCTGGTCCTCGACAGTTATTGCTCCCACAGGGACTTACAAAGAGACCTAAAATAAGGTTGATGCATTTTATTAGCTCGGATCATGGAGAGGGCATGTTCCACTGAGCTGCTCAGAAAATGGAAAAACAATTCCCTAAAAATGGGAAGAAATTACAGTATTTAGTTGTTGGACAGTTTGTTATCTCCTCCAAACTTCTTGTTGAATATTCTTCAAGAGTTATGGGAGAAAGAACAATACCTAACTTAGAACAATGAAATTCCTTCTCCCCCTCTCTTTTTTCTCTTCCCAGTACTTACAGAAAAGGCCTGATTATTTTACACCAAAACTTTTAATTCTGAGACAGTGTCATGGTTTAGCCCCAGCCAGCAACTAAGCCCCACGCAGCCGCTCATTCACTCCCCCACAGTGGGACGGGGGAGAGAATCAGAAGAAACTCATGGTTTGAGATAAAGACAGTTCAATAGGTAAAGCAAAAGCCGCGCACACAAGCAAAGCAAAACAAGGAATCCATTCACCGCTCCCCACGGGCAGGCAGGTGTTCAGCCATCTCCAGGACAGCAGGGCTCCATCACACGTAATGGTGTCTTGGGAAGACAGACGCCATCACTCTGAACGTCCCTCCACCCCTTCCTTCTTCTTCGCCCCAGCTTTATATACTGAGCATGACGTTATATGGTATGGAATATCTCTTTGGCCAGTCTGGGTCAGCTGTCCTGGCTGTGTCCCCTCCCAGCTCCCCGTGCACCCCCAGCCTTCTTGCTGGCAGGCCAGCACGAGAAGCTGGACTGTCCTTGACTGTTTAGCGACAGCTCAAAACATCAGCATGTTATTAACATTTTCTCATCCCAAACTCGAAACACAGCCTCAGACTAGCTTCTATGAAGAAAATTAACTCTACTCTGGCTGAAACCAGGACAGACAGCTAAGTTAGGTGAACTGAATCCCACCCAAAATCCTTCGCGACTCTTTGTATAAGAAATCCTGTACCAATTATCTATTTTTATCGTGGTTCGCATTCCTATAGATTAAGTGGTATCAATTGACCTACACAAAGATAGGCTCTCATTTACATATCTATTCCTACTTTACCACTATTTTACATGAAATAACATATTGTGAAAACTAAAGAGTGAGTCAATGCTGTGTCCTTCATGAAAATTAAATGCCAAGTTACCTGGTGTAATTCTAAATGCTGCAAATGCTGAACTGGCCTCTAAAACCTCTTCCTTACTGTTAGCTTTTTCCTAATAGGAGATGTCATCTTTCCCAACAGCTAACAGCATGAGATAAACATGGGCTGAGTAATCATTTTAAATAAGCAACAAACTCAAGGGAGATTGGTGATTTAGAGTCAACTTCTATCAAACAAGTCACTTCCTTTCATTACTACAAGCCATTTATTCAACTATGAACAGAAGTACTCAAATGCTATCATCCAAAAATAAAGATTTCAATCATGAACTTGAGTCCTAGTTTGCAGGAAAGAATTAAATCAACCATAACTGCATTTTTATCTTACAAATACTTCTGCTAGATTTCATGCCAAAAAATTGATTTTAAATTTAGCTGACCATTTGCTACATGCTACCGCCAAGTTTAAAGATAGCCATGGTTGACTTCACCCTACAGCAGAAATGAGGATTATTTTTAAGGAAGAGAGGAAAAACCCCTTTTGGGTATGTCTTCACCCAGAAAAAGGGCATATTTTTAAAACAGGATGGTTAACACACTTCAACATCCAGCATGAAATCTGATCCATTTAAAGTCAGTAACAAAACAGTAGCAGAGCTAGGATTTCACCCAGGGTGTTGGTAAATGAAGATGCAACTTTAATATGAGATTAGCTACGTAGAAGAGACTTTAGGGTTCAGACTGTCTTCCTAGCAAGTACTAAAGAAACAACTTAGCCTGCCTATTCTAGGCTGTCAAAGTGTGTCCCTGAAGACTTTTAAAGCATGCATATTTTGTGGAGTGTACACAGAACATCAGGAAAAGAAAGAAGCTATTCTAGAAATAGACTATTCAACAGGCTATAATTTTTTATGATCTACTTGAAATCTTCCTTTGGGAAAATTTTACCCAGAATTCACTATGAGGAAAGGAACAGAAAGGCAAAAGGCTCTGCTCAGGTTATAGAAGGGCAGAGCATCCATTCAACAGATGCAGTCCCTGACGTAAATCATCCATCACCTGCTCAGTGAGTATGGCCAACGCTTTCTCTGGGGAGGAATCCCAGCGAGCCAGAAAGCAGAACTGCAGTTCTCTCCTCTTCCAGATATCACTCATTCAGGGCTCACAGAAACCAAATTCTGGCCACAATACAGATGAGTGCAATGGCCTGGAAAAGGGGCTTCCTCTCTAATCTCCACATTGGCAAGTGTGTCTAATTAAACTCCTGTACATTTTGAGCAGGGAGAAATCCTAATGAGATGGTGGAAAAACAGAGGCATTCATTCAGAAGCTTTTTTTTTTTTAATATGCAAAACAGACTAAGAGACACTGAAAAATTAATTTACTACAGATTCATTTTCATAAAACTCCAATGAAACCTAATTATAGCCTCCCTCATCAGTTTCTCTGTCAAAAATCAAGGATAAGATTAATCCACCTTTTTGCTATGTAGTTGAAACCAGCTATTAGTATTTAAATGAAAAACAAATACGATGGAGTGATGTCACAGTGCTGAATCCTCTGGTTAGCAGTAAGCTCCAACAGATGGCTAAAGCTATTGCCAAACTCAAGTGTGCAAGAATGAGGTCCAAATCTCAACGATACTGGTTCAGTAATGAGATTTTATTAAAGAAATACCTGGGGAGTCAAGTCAGTGGAACCAGACAACCAGAAAGGTTGTGCAGGCTTCATTCATCTGGATGCAGTCCTGAGCAACCTGGTCTGAGCTCATCGCTGACCTGCTTTGAGTAGGAGGTCAGAGTGGGGACACCCCCAAGGTCCCTCACAATCTGAACTATCCTACGGTCCTAGTTCAATTTTTGTTTTTAAGACACACTCAATTCCCACATTCCAACCTCGTTCTACAATCACGAGGACTGTAGAAGTACTTAAAAAAAGCCCTGTAAGTCTGACCTGAACTTGTCATCTACTAACATCATTGCTAGCGCTTCACACAAAGCTTTCCAAATCTCGAGATGTCACCCACTAAAAATCCCAAGTTGACAACGCTGCTAAACTAACACTTCTATCGATAGGCACCCCAGTTACTTTGATAAAGAGTCACGGGCTTCGTGGTATGCTACTTGCCTTTCCTTGTGGATGCTTCCTCTGAACGCTTGTACTTTTTACTTTAATCACAACTCACTCTTCTGCAGGCCATGGAAAAGCACAGAGGAAGTGAGGTGCCCTTTTGAAAACATTCACTTGGCAACTGTCAAGTAGCAGCAGAGACTGCTGCCTCTGGCCACTTTTTTTGAACACATGAATTTTGTTTCAAAGAAGCTGCACAAGATCAAAAAGAGAAATCAAGATAATAGGTGTGTTAACACAATCAGGAGCAATTGGGTTAGTGCATCTCGCAATGCTACTGCCCATCAGTGGGGTGCAGTAGCAGTTTTTGAACATTTAGACCATTAAAATACACTTGTAGCTATAGGCTGTATTTGAGATACAAGGGGCTGAAAAATGTCTTGATTTTCATGACCATTTGCTCTTATGAACTGAAACAGTCTAGAATTCAGTTTCTGGAGAATCTATACCAGAAAGCATCTAACATACGTTCAGGTCAGAGGATGAAGACAATCATGCTTTGCTTAGACCTACAGCTCTAATGGCACATTATGCCTGGGATCCTATTGCTACTTTCCCTTACATGACCAGCAAATCTTTCTCTGGAATAAACATACTTGAAAATGACACTCAAATATTAATTCCCAGGAAAACTCAAATGAGCATAACCTTGTTTCTTCTCCTAAAATCAACATTTATTTGAAGGTTTTAATCCAGAATTGCAAGTGTTGAAGCTGCATAACTAAATACACTTCACTTGTAAAGCGATTTCATGGACTCTAATAACACTACAGTATAATGCAGTTTAATGCAATCTTCTGTGTTTCATCAGCTTAATGCAGTGTCCTGAACTGAGATCAAATGTGATAGCACAAAATAAGCGTGCAAATGGAACACCAACTCTTGTTGCTTTAGAAATAAGAAGGAAAAACATTATTTTTATTTTTTTTTAATATAGTGCATCCTGCTAAATCCTTACTGAGAAGTTCTTTGAGAGAAACACATCCAATGCATCCATATAATTAGGTAAATTAGTTCCATCACTTTCCAAAAGGCAATGATGTCTACTTCCTTGTGTTTTCAAGCAAGAGAAGGGAGCAGGGAAGGGGCTGCCTTGCTATTGGTATTTACATTGTCTTTATACAAGTGAGACCCATTGCAAAACACTCTCCTGTGGAGATGGAACAGAAAGGATCTTCTATGATCACCTGTCATGAACGATGTTAAACAATGTGAAACTAAGAATAAGGGGATATGTTATTCTGGAAAACACAAGTCTCTGGCTGAAACTGAGACCCAATGATGGTATAACCTCCCCTTATTATGCTGGCATCGTCAAGATGAGCTGAGGGTGACAGTGATTCTTTAAGAAGTTGGCTGTACAAATCATCAGTGTTGAACTAAAGTTCACTAAAGTGAACACACAGCAAAATTCTCCAGTGTCTCGAGTAGACCAAGAGAAATCTTTATTACACCAGGAAACGGTGAACAAGGTCTATGGAACTGTGAAGTCTGTCCAAGCTCTCTTCTTTCTCTTACTTATGGCTCATATTTCAGTAGGGCTTAGAAATACTGATCTTTAATTTGGACCTCATGTGCTCTATGATGTACAAATACAAAACATATTCCTTCTGTGGCTCAGGATATGCATGAAAATTGCAGAAAGTCCTGCTCCCGTACTAAACCCTCTGCTTTCAGTCAGTTGTGAGACATGACACAGATTTAGATGGACCTGTACTCGGTGTGAAGATGACCATTCTTATGTCCTTATACAGCTGTCTGCTGCTATAAAGCAACTAAGAGGGTTTCAAAGAAGTTTCTGTACTCTGAACTTGACTTACCTCATGTTTGTCTGGAGCAATGAAATTCAGCTGGCCACTCGAGTCATACAATATAGAGAAAGCAAGCTCTAGCACCTCCTGGAACAATACAAAGAAACATATTAATGCTGCATGAAGAGGCATTAATACATTCAGGTCTGTCTGTCTTTGCTACCACTTATTCCCCGAAACAAGTAGAAAAATAGGTTATGGTACTTTCTGCCTGGTCAAAGCTGCAGCAGTACCACACTATTGCAACAGACAGGCACAGCAAGAACCCCAACACAGATGCTTCAGTCAGAACAAACTCACACCCTGCCAGTGCTGACTGTAGCTCACTCGGTCATGGATTACTTTAGCATTTGAGTTTAGATTTGAGCTAGGCAATGGCGAGGACTAAAATCAACATAACCCATAAGAGTACACTTGCAACAAAGTCTTCATGAAGACCCACGATTTCTTCAATTTGTATAAATTAAACTTGCAAAGTTCTGCAAGGTTTGATTCCCTGTGTCAAAAACCTTGCCAGGACAGTTAATCTCCTGGTATATACTTATGCCTTTTCACAGCTGGAAATCTATTAAATTATTAATTCTCAAGAGATTTCTGTCATTTCGTCTCTACCTGAACCAGAGGCAGCAGACTCAATCAAACTGAGCTATCTGGGTTACTTAGTCATAAAGACCCAAATGAATGTCGGGAAAAGAAAAAACAATAATCTTTTTTCCCCTCAGCATTGAATCTGGAATTTCAAAGATGCCAAAGTGAATTTGTTAAGCACTGACCTTCCCTAAAAGTCACCTGGACCTGGCTTCCTATGGGGAAACCCATCCAATCTGAATAAATAGTGAACTTCCACTGGCCAGCAGTGGGCACGTAAAGATGTTGTGTTATCATGGTTATTGCACACATCACTACATGCGCTGTTACAAGCATTTCACACCCTGTAAGCTAGCTGACATGGACATAACAACTCTGTGGAAAGAAGACCCAGCTACAGAGGAGTGCTGACTCATAACTACGATCTGTATCGTATGTCCTGTTTTCTTCTCCTCTTGACTTCCTGAGCCCCATAATACTGATTGTCTTTGCTGACTCGCAGGTGACAACGGTCCCGACACTGCCAGCAGTGACAACAGCGTGGGTTCTTAGATTTGCTATGCTAAGTTTTAAAATGGAAGAATTGACTGCGAGGACTGCAGCATATACATTGCTCTAGATTTCTACCCCTGATCTCCTGGTCTGAAACAGACCTAGGTCTTTGGCTTTCAGTAAGGGTTATTTCATTTTTTAACTTGTGTGATTAAGAGCAGAGTCTGATTCATAAAACTTGCAATCCTTAGGGATAATCTTGGATGATCAGAGCTCAGGCTTCTCACGGGAAATGCTCTTGGTTTCCTTGAGTTTAGCTATTTGGTCCAACTTGCTGTATTGCCAGGCCACGGAAGACAAGTCTGTGTTAAACCCCCAAGGAAGTTGCAAACGCTTAACAGCACTCAGCAAACAAATGGCCCATGGCTCACATAACCTTTTTGTGTTTTAGGCATGTCTCTCTGCCACACCTTATTAAGAGTGACGTCGCTCCTTACAGAAACAAATTTACCTCTGCCCACACAAACCTGGCATTATCTCCTCACAGAGTCTTATAAATTATTGACAGAACATGCCAAGTCATGCAACTGAGTTTGTGAAATAAAACGTAACGTTGCAAAAAGGGCTTGTACTGCTCTGCTACGACCTTCCTGAATTTCATGAAGGTCAACAACAATCCCACCAGCCTAGCCTCTGAGTATTTGTCCTTTGGGAAGTTCCAAGGGATTGAAGTTTTTGTTCATCTCAAAGAAAGGAAAAGGAGATAAAAGCCCTGCCTGAAAGAGGAATATGCCAGGGATCCACAGGTTTGGTCATTCCCAGTCAGGTAGACAGTAAAAAAGGCCTAGATTCAGGGCACTAGGTTGTCCTTTATGGAGGTAAGTGGGTGTTTGACAGTTTGGCTCCAGTTCAGCTTCTTGGCTGGCTGCTGTGGAGGCTAAAGGCTCAGGAATTACAGCTTCCAGGGGCCAGCATCTCTGTCATCTCATGTACAGCAAACTGTCAAGGAAAATGGAAGCCTAAGGAGCAGGAGTTGCCAACTGGCCCTCCACACTGACGGTGGTCTGGCTGACTTCTCAGGCACCCCCTCCTGGTTTTGTTACATTCCCATCAATGACAGGTGATTTTGAGGAATTGGCAGTTCCTAAAGGAAAACTGGTCAGTCTCCATCAGCCATCTGTGGTTTTCCTCCTCCCTTTTCTGTCTGACTTCTCAACCTTTCTCAAAGCAATTTTCCACTCCAGCTTTTTCCACCCATTTCTCTTGCTCTCTGGCCTTTCTTCTCTCCCATTCTTTTTGTTTTCGTCTCCTCCTTCCCCACCTCAATCTGCTGAACTCAGTCCCTTGATACTTCTAACTCTTTCCACCCTTGCACATTTCAGACCTCTGCCCTTCCCTTGATGCTTGCCAAAGGTAACAGTATTGAGATCCACAACATGCCTCTCTGGAGCTTCACTGAACACAGGGAACAAGAGGCTCTGTACCTGCTGGCTGGCCACTCCTTGGTTTCAACTCTGCAGGCAAAGTTTTGCGGGTGGTATGAGGAGAAGCTTGCTGCTTCCATGCCCAGAGCTTCTCTCTCCCCCAGTCTCTGCTGGCCCCTCATGCTGGGGGGGGAGCTATTTTTGATGAACGGGCATTTTAGGTGCCTGCAGGTGAGTGATCCCACACAGCTGGAATGACCTCATTACTCTCTGCCTACTCTGTTGTCAACAGCCTCAAGGTGCCCTTTGCTGAAGGCTGAGGCCACAGCCATGTTAAGTTTGCTTGCCAGAGCCAAGAGATCTGCCCCCACAGAACTATCTACACATGCAGCGAGAGGGAACTTGTTCAACCAATAAGAAATAAAAGAGAAGAGAAGCTGTAGAAGAACAGGGAAGTGAACAGAACCATTTCTGCTGACTAAAAAGGAACCAAGCCTGAAGCCTGCCACATCAGCAAACAAGAGGTGACAGAACACTCAGAAATACATGGCAATGTTTTTTCCAAATTCTTCTGTCATGCTTTGTTTTGAAGGCTGTAAAATCTAATACATTTCATTTCCTTGAAATTCATTAATATTACTCGAGAGTCAGAAATAAGGACTTTTAAATTAAACCTAATTTAAAAACACATGCAAGATGAACAACAATGGATTCAGGTCTGGTCCTATCAAGTCGTTCCCAGCTTCATATCCATGCAAATTCCAATTCAGTTTAACTCTTATTTATTTCTAAATGGTCCTGCTGGAAGAATAATGGCCATGTGCTGGCAAATGAGGAGATGCTGAAGCCTTTGTTAGGGACATTCTGCCAAATCCGGCGTGTTCATAGCAGTGGCATTCTGACATTCAATTTTCTTTTCTGCCAATGAATAAACATTATGGAGGTCGTTACATATTTACAAAGAAAGCACAGGATGAAAAGGCCTCTTAAAAAATATATCACTGATTGTGACATTTCAGGAAGTGAACGGTTTCATACACCAAACTCAGCCAAACTGCATTCTATATCTGGCTTTTTTTTTTAAATTTTTATTTCATTGTCCATATTAACGTGGTACTCTGCAAACAATGATGTGTTATTCCTAAGTCAGTTAAGTAGTTGCAATATTGCGCATGACAGTTTGATTGGGGTGACAAATAATTTCACAAATTCTGTGATTCCCAGGAAAAAAAACAAGGTATCAAGGAAAGAAAATAATTAAAAAACCCAACACCAAAACACCACACCAGAAATAGTAAAATCATCAAAATTATTATTGCCTGGGTCTCAAATGGAAGGCTCCAGCCACAGATGCAGCCATGCTACTTACCAACTCCTGATCTTCACATTCTCAGCCAGCAGTTTTATGCCAGTCCAGAGCAATTTTACATGAGAAAATGGGGCAATGCTGATAGCTGAGGACAAACTGATCTGCAGCATTGCTATTTAACATTAAATACTATCTAGACATTACTGCTCCATAAAGATGACACATTTCCATCACTGCCACCCACTGCTTTCCTTCTTCCTGTCTTTCCTTTTTGTGTGGACATATGAATGCTAAGACAAGGAAGCACTAAAAATACTTTATATGCATCATATAAATGCCCTAGCCAAATGCTGTTGATGGTTCAGCTGTAACATGAGGTAGGAGTTATATGCAATCTATTGTGTGCATGAGTGTGTTTGTGCCCTGATTCAGAAAATCAACAAGGAAAAATACTCCTGGGATTATTTTACTGGCTTGGCTTGACTTTTTCATTTCCAACCATGTAAAGCCAAGGCTGAAAGGAGATTGTGATAGACTTAGAACAACTCATGTGTATGAGAAACATATGCAAAGAATACTCGAGATGATCCACGTATAGTTAAGGAAAGAAAAGTTGCAGCTATGAAGCTGCAACAGTTGTGTGATGTAATTTTTGGTGGTGCCTTTTCATTTTTTATGGTTCCCATCAGAATTGTTTTTTCCAGTATTTATTTGAACACTAAACACATGCATTTTATTTTTAAAGTGCCAAAGCAGGAACTCTTAAGTTTACTATTTTGTGCATCAAAAGATCTTTCTAGTTGGACCCAAAATTTCTCAGTTTCAGGTAACCAGAAATTCTGATTCAAATCTTCTGATCTGGTTCCCAGACTTCAGGGTGTGGTTCTAGATCAGACTGAACATCATTAGAGTCTCACTCCTTCTCGTAGAGTCAGACAGTATGACCTGATGGAAATCTTATGAATACACCTCATGATACGGTATGAAGACCTTCACCGCTAAAGATGTCAGTCTTTGCTAGTAACTCAATTTCTTCTTGCTGTGGTGGCAATTCTTACTAACAAAAACTCTGCAAGATTCTGGCACTGTACAATCTGAGTCTTACTGTCAGTTTACAGCTCTCAATCTGAAACTCTGAAAGCTAATGTAAATCTACTTTAAGCTGACCATTGTCTCCTACACACTTTTTCCCAAATCCACTGCTGAATGTACCCTTATACGCCTCATTAATTGCCTAGAGTTTACCTTACTTGCTTTTGTTGGCAGTTGTTTTTCTACCTGACTGGACCTGAAGTTATCATCAGCTGGACACTAATTGCAATTTTGGCATATGCCAGTGTTCAGTGAATGTGAGCTCATCAGAGAATACAGCTGGAACAAACTAGTTATTTATCAGAGATAATATAGGAGTAGGTACCAACAGTCATTGCTAGTCTGCTCTGTAGCAGCAGTCAAAACTGCTTTGCATTAGAGGTAGAAGACATGACTACTAAAGACTATCCTAAGGTGCTCTGGGTGTATCACAATGCACATCTGCCATGTAATCCAGGAAAGGAGGGTAGGCTGTCCCAGTAATTTAACTCAAATGGTCTGAGGTGAAAACAAAGTGTGTGTGCATACACAGAAATGTGACAGGCTGGAATGAAAAATACCTATATTGCTTCAGGGAAGGTCGAGTTGACAAGCTTTGTATTCTGCAGGGTGCATGTTCATAACAATTTGAGAACCATACCTTGTTTTGTTTAAGAGCTCCTTTCTCCTTCATGTGAGGGCAGTCTTTCCCAGTCACGACAGCTTTTATATCTGCCACTGGTACTGCATTAAAAAGAAACAAAGGCAAAAACCAGAAAAGTAGTTACAACCAAGGTGTGTAAAACCTACAGAATCTAAGAGGCAAGACTAATGCGTTAAAATTGCTGCCGCCTTTGCCATTTCCTGACTGTTGTAAGAAAAAAAAAAAGGAAGAAAACAACAAAAATAGGAATCAGAGGCTCTTGACAAAATTTCAGGCATCTGGATAAATTCTGAGTATGCTTTTTCTTGCCTGTTGAAACTACTTTGGGTAAGAGTGGTTCATATAGATGTGTACCTGTGTCTGGACGGTTTTTATGTGTACTCATGTATCCAAAAAACATACACTGTTTTCTGCCTTATAATGCAACATACCCGCCCTGGTGTTGCTCTTTCCTAGGCATCCAGGTAAATTCTCTGCTGGAGAGAGGATGCTGGGCAAGTTGGACCATACTTCACTCGATGCTGTTTTCCTTCTGTTAATGGCTGTATGTATTTTTCAAATATTTTTTTATTTCACTCCCAACAGCAGTTTAGTCGCTTTCTGGTACTAACAGGGGTAAGGACTACCAAGGCTTATAATGACCCATTCCAATTGCTTCAAAACATGAAATGATCAGAAATCATTGGGGGGTTGCGGGAAAAAAGGTAAGAAAAAAAATATTGGAAGCTGCTGCCACTCAGACTCACTCAGAGAGTGAGGTCACTAAAACACAAAGATAAATTTCTCTGAGTTTCAAGTGGAAGTCAATTTTCCAATGGTAATTACATTATGGAGAATCTATATGCTCCACAATACGATATGGTCAGTGAGTGACAGTTTCTACAATCAATAGATAATCCATTATCCTTGTGGCTGCAGAAAAGCATCATGTATAAAGAACAGCATAATAACATGAAAGTCTGTTACTACCCCATTCTTTACAAACTCTAATGGAAATTCTGGAGAGGAGAATTGCATTTTTTCTTCTACTGGGTATGGCCAATACTATGTATTTTATTACAGATTACCTCAGCACTATGATTAAATGGATACTATGGGATATAATAGACATTTTTAAAGGATGTTCTTTGCATGGAAAACTAAAAGAAATGCAAGTTATTTGGACATTCACTACTCAACCTCTCCTGCCTCTAGACTCAGCATTTCATGCTGCAGCCCTGCTAACTTTTTGTGTCTCTGACACTACCCTACTTTTTGGTCAAGAAGAGATACCATTTCTGAGAGGCGAGAGCGAGCTAGGACAACCTGGGAAATAAAGGATATATTTGATTGTGATTATGATAGAAAGGTCTTCTTAAGAAGAAAGAGTTCACAGCATTTGCTGAAGGTGCCCAGAAACTCAGTTTCTCTAACTTCTTAAGGTAGGGTTTTCTCAGGTTAGATCTCTCAACCAAGAAGGTTTTTCTCCAGGTTTCATACACTTGATCTCTGTGATCTGGAATGCAGTTACTATGGGAGATCAGAGACTGATGTGACATCCTGGTCTTTATTTATCTGGAACTTGGCCTATTCCTTGCTTTGGAAAAGTAGAATCAAAGGCTTCAAACAGGATCAGAAGCCAACTACAATATGCTGGAGTGTGTGAGCACAGACGCAATTCGCTCATAACAGATAAAGCCCTGAAGAAGAGGGAAGCTGTTTTCTGTCCCAGCTGGAGTCTGCACATCTTGTTAACTCTGCCAGCCTGAAGAGAGGGGTGACATTCACAGAAGTGAAAAGGTTAAAAACCCACACATTTATTTTTGGAGATAGACACCAGTTATTCGAACTTGGCCAGGAGTACACATAATGCTCTACTCTGCTTCTCTTCATCCTCCATTTTCTTACCTACCTAATTCTCTTTCATCTGTTGACCTGTTCCCAAACGCTGACAATCTGGTCAACATATTCAGACCTTAATAGTTCAAAATTCAGTATAAGTCTATCAAAAGAATGTCAGAATATTTCTGGAAAATGCTCTGTAAAATTCCCAAGCTAGTTTGGCCTGATGCGTATTGAGCAATAGTGCCGTTTGTGATCTTGTATCTTGCAATATTCTCAACTCTAATTAAACTCTAATATGGGTGGCACTGCAGTAAATCTCATACACTTCATAGCCTGAAAACCTGAGATATTAATGAAATAACCATAACTTTCTTACACTACATCAGCATCTGCTCTGCCAGCAGGGAACTGGTTGGTCTGGCCCAGTGGTTCCTAAAGTAGGATCCTTCTGTCCCTATGGGATGCTGACATACCTGAGTAGGCTCAAGAGCCTACAGAAAATGCAAATGCAAGATGAAGCTTGCAGTCAAGGTCAGGGGTTTCAGCCTGGAAGTGTGCTCAAAGCAAACAAATCTGGGAACTGCTGGTCTCATAACTGTGCCTGCAGTTCGAGTGTGACCTTCAGTATTCTTCTGTCATTCTGATGCTACTGTAACATTCAAGGGCTATTTCTCTAAGTCTCATCCAGAAAAACAGCCTCTTCCAGTGCCAATGCAGCAATGTGAACCCCCATCCTACATTCTGCCAAGACTGCAGTAAGAGCGTGAAACATCCTTGAGGCAATCTGTAAGGCAATGAAAACAAGGGAACGTGACTGTGAACTGCCAGGGCTCCAGCATCACATAGGCTCTTCTTTACTTCCCAGACTGTGTCTGGGACCACTTAGAAATTTTAAAAGGTACTACCTGAAGATAGGTTGTTGGAGCAGAAAAGAGAAGTAATTCTTTGTTTTACCAAAATACAGGAACGTTTAAATCACTGATTTTCTCCTTTCACAATTTTCAGGTTGGAGAAATTTCCAACATCTCAAAAATTAGTCTTTCTACTATTCCGTGAAAGAAGTGGAGCGACCAGCTGGAATACTTGTACAGCGTGTCTAATTTGATAATGCCAAGAATGGCATTTAATACTAATGGAGGTTCAGAAAAGAACAAAAAGAAACTATTCCCTATTCAATGCTTGATTTCTCAAAGTCACTTTCTGGTGACAGAACTACACTGGTCATTATTTCAGTCATCACAAAAAACTTTCCCAGGATTGCAGGTTAAACCTCTACAACTCATGTTAAAGGACAAAGGAGAAATTATCACAACCGTGTGATTTTCAGAAGGGCTCCAACATTACTTTTGACTACAAAAAATATCCTGATAAATCCCCTGGCAGGAGCTGTCACAAAGGAATGTCCTTTCCCAGCTGGTCACACAGTAACTGCGAGGTCCTCTCAATACTGTTCACAGTGATGCGTCATCTTTAAGTCCACTCCCCACGACAATGAATAAGATCTCCGCCTGCCACGTATTTCTCCTCCAGCCACTAGACTGTTTGCCACGGAAGAAACATCTGTCTCCGCGGACAGGAACTGCTTCTGAATATGCCCGAGTATTCTTATTTGACATCTGCAGTTAGACAAGCAATGAAAATACACTGTTCCTCCCCAGTAAAGGCATGACATTTCCAAGCTGAATGAAATTATAAACTCATTGGAAAGCTGAGCTCAAGGCCTCATACACACTTGCCAAAACCAAGAGAGCAGTGTTCGGATGCAGGAGGAAATGTCCTCTGCTCTCTATCTCTGTAAACAGAGCTGCTGCTGCTGTCCTGTGTTAAGAGAAATTTACTGCAAGTTATACAGCGGAACTAGCTTAAAAGAAGCGGAAGTAGCACGATCCTTGTGCATGACTTACATTTATCTTGCAAAGAATCATGGGGGACTTCTCCCTGGGGACTTTCTTCCAAGTCTCCGTAGTGCAAGACCTTGTGATTAGGTGAAAGTCGACAATACCAAAATTTGTCTGTTAAAATAAACACATTAAACAAGGTCACTAACATGTCTTCATCAGCATTATCAATAGCATAGGAGAAAGCTTACTCAAACGAGGCACTAGAGGGAAGGACCGTCTTGTCTCTTGCAGAAGGAATGTGTGGGGTGTGTGGAAAGTAGGGCAGGAACTTTGCTCGGTAATTTTACTTGATTAAATGAAGCTGGCATTAATCTACCACTTTTGTATTGACTTAGTTACTGGCTCCAAAAAGAAATACTAGCAAGAAACAATCGACTTAATTTTACAGGATATTATATACCTTCATGGACAGAAGAGTGGCAAAGTAACCACTGCTTTGAGTGGATAACTTTAACATGCCCATAAAAGCTTCATTTTTAGCACCCGCTATGCGAAAATTAAGCCCTGCCAGCTGTCTTGTGTGGGACACCCAAAACCTGACACATTTGAAATATCCCATACTTTATGAAAATTATGACTCATGTCTTTCTATAGACATGGGAGAATACCCCCATATTTATGGAGGGACTGGACATAATAAACATGCAAAAATTTAAAAAGCAGATGTTAACTCCCGTGTCCTGCTGATAACTTAGTGCTTTGCATGGTCACAAATACACATGTGCCCGTAGAGTCATACTCCAGTCTGCATTTTAGCCCTTCCTAGAAGATGCATATTTACATCTCCTGCCAACTCCTGCTTCGCAGGCTGTAATTCCCCTTAACGATATTTGTTAAAATCTGCCCTGTGAAGAACATCGGCTTTGTAGAGCCGGGCCACCCCACTGCATAGCGCGCAGGGGCCGTGCTTGCCAATTCCCTTTCTGAAATAGCAAGAACGAGGTTACACTTCCTTGTCAGTGCACTTTCTATTTAATAAATAGATCCCATAATGTTAAGCTGTCAAAAATACAATCTTGTTACATCCAAGCTATAAATCTCCAAACCCTCAGACCGAGGTTAGATGTTAAAATGCCAGTGGGGGTGCAGAGGGCTTCTCTGCCTCTGTGCTTCTCCCGTTGCTGGCAGCGCCGATGCCAAGCAGTAGCCTAAGGGACAATCTGGAGGAAATGTTAGCGCTAACGCAGCCCCGCGGTGCTGCAGTCGCCGGGGGCGAACGGAGCCACAGTTCGGATTAAAACGTCGGAGGAGCTATACAACCACCAAAGCCAGCATACGTGAGCTCGTCTGCGGTGTCCGCTGCCTCTATCGGCCTCATGGACCCAACTTCTTTCTGAAGGACACTCTCTAGTCCCTTGGCCAGCCATTTAAAAAGCAATGCGATAAAACACAGAGAAAGGCAATGCAGCTTTGAATGGTATAAGTGGGCTTCCACGTGCCCTTCTGAATTTCCTTGCCGTGGTGGGTAGAAATGTTTCAGGGGAAAAAACCCACATGCTTCAATCCACTTTCTGAATGTGCAGCCCCTTCTACAGAAAGGTATCAAAAGACCTTACAAACAGCTGGCAAAGGCTCAAAACAGCAATGGGCAAGATCCTGGTTATCTACTTCACAGCCATGCACAATACTGAAAGATTTATGGTAGAGAGCCTGAGATTATGATTTTGTGACGCATACAAAAAGAGCTGCTGAAAGATGGACTTACCCTGGACTGTAAGCACTACATATGATGTAGTAGCACAGTATGGGATCAAGCAGAAAACCCCACTTGCAAAACTTTTGTAGGGATTTGAAACTAGAGCAAGCAGGAGCCCTCACTCAGTAGACTCTCATCTGTGTGTCTCAGAAGGATGCATGTGAAACTTCTCTAGATTTGTACTTTTTACAGAGAATTCTACCAGAACCATATCAAAACCTGATGCTTAAAAAAATACACCCCATTGAATCTGATGGTAGATCATCATGCCCCTTGCTGAAGGTGCCCACTAAAGCCTCTAGTAACTGTAGCAGGAGGCTTTCACGTCTGGCTTTAACTGCAACCTCATTGTTTATTAGGCTGTACAAAGGAATATGACTTTCCAGCTCTAAGATTAAAAATAGTAATTTTTTTCCTAATAAAAGCCAATATGGTCTCACTATCTTCTCAATGGCCTGGCCAGGAAGATGGTGTAACTGAAAAAAAATACCATTAGTTCCTTTCAATTCAGCACAAATAGGGCTAGTGGTGTTAGCAAGGGTTTGAAAAAGTTTTGCTTTTTAACCTCCTAGGGTATATAGTGTTTTGGTAACCTTAGTCCTGTTTCAATGCCCTGCTCCAACAATAAAAGAGCGAAAAGTCCCTCAGTGAAAATGTCTTGCTTCATTTTTAGGGTGGGGTGGTTTTATGGGAAGAAACCCTATCTCTGAGGGCTTGTGGAGCCTTTTACAGCAATTCCCCATAACCCAAGGTTAATTAAAGAACTAATAGCCACAGACCATAGCTTGAAGCATGTCTGGCACAATTCCCCTATGGGCTTACTAATAACTGCCACCGTGCCACAGCTTTGCTGTCAAGAGGGAAAGCCTTAAATGAAACGTACAAATGGAACTAATGAGGTTCCCTCAGCCGCAGCCACTAAACGACTGCACCGGCCAGGCCGAGGAGGGCGATCAGCACGTTAGCGATGGGAAGGAACCCTTGCTTCTACAACCACCTCAGCCTTAGCCAGCTGGGGTGGGTTTTTTCAGCTGTACATGATGTTACAAACAGTTTATCAGACAACATTCCACTTACGAGAGATCTCAGTACCTTGGAGGGGAACGGTTTCCAACAGGATGTGTGCTATTTTACTGTAGTGCAGATGCTGAATACAATTTTATTGCAGGAGTAGTGTATAAAATAATGCTGTAGTAAAAATAAAAATTATATGAAATTGCTTCCACTGACAAAAAGGATGAAGAAATCTTAACTCCAGAACAGTACATGGGAAGTGGCCAATACTTACTTTCAGCTCTAAATTGATGAACAAATTAAAAAAAAAAAAAAAAATAGCAAAAGCTCGCTCTTTTCTACCATGATTAGAAAGTAGTTTTCATAAAACAAAGAAAAACTGCTGCCCAAACCCTCCAGAGCTCTTAAACCCAAGTCCGCAGAGCTGAAGTGCCACAGGAAGCTTTAAAGACAGGACTGGCATTTCTCAATAGACCCGGTACTCCACAGCTGGCAGATCTGTGTGTATGTGCACAGCTGGAGTGGGCAACTGTCTTCTCAGGAAGGAGTGGAGTTTGTTTTGGGTTTAGGCCCAGTCTTATGAATTTGCCCCAAAGCCTAAGTCAGAGAATCACAGAATTGATTGGTTGGAAAAGACCTTTAAGATTATCAAGTCCAACCACCAATCCAACACCACCATGCCCACTAAACCATGTCCTGAAGTGCCACACCTACACGCTTTTTGAACACTTATAGTGATGGTGACTCCACCACCTCCCTGGGCAGCCTGTTCCAATGTTTGACCACTCTCTCAGTAAAGAAATTTTTCCTAATATCTAGTCTAAATCTCCCCTGATGCAACTTGAGGCCATTTCCTCTCATCCTATTGCTGATTACTTGGTAGAAGAGACCAACCCCCACCTCACCACAATCCCCTTTCAAGGTAGCTGTAGAGAGCAATGAGGTCTCCCCTCAGCCTCCTCTTCTCCAGACTAAACCACCCCAGTTCCCTCAGCCGCTCCTCACAGAAGTCCCTTCTGTGAGCTAGAACTCTTATTTTGTATCCGGTGTTATTACACCTGCCTCTGTAAAGCTCCTCAGAGCAAGAAACTGTAGGAAGGGACAGTCGCTAACCACAGAGTCTTTGGAGACAATGTGGGCTCGTGATTTCATCGCAATTTTTGGACACTACATCACTTACACTTTCCATCAAGTCCTTATGCCTTTTAGCTCACTGACCACGATGCAATCAAATTAAGGTGAGAGTCTTCTTTGAGAAACAGAATTAATAATTATGGTTTTTAACCTGAAAAGGTTTCAAACAAATTGTTCTGATTTTCAGATAATTGCTAGAGCAGCCAGTGGGTTAAATATATTGTAGCACATCGCTAAAGATTATACATGAGGTTAAAAAATAATATCCCTAATAACAAAATTAGCTACCATTTGGCTAGAAGAATAATATTCAAAACTGTGACCAAACAGTAGGGCACAGAACATTTTGCTGATGGGCTACAGAGTGCTTGGCCATTCACATAGTGTGTTTCCAAGTGCACTAATGGCCAATGACTCATATGCCCTGAACAATGCTATCACAGGTAAAGAAGTGCTGTGGTTTGTACAGAAGTGCTCTATAGTTAGAATCTGGGGAGAAAATAGCTCAGATATGCATGGACGAAAGTCTGAGAGTATACTTTTTATCCCAAGATATGTTCCAGATTACTAAAGAAGGTTTTTGTTCAAAGCAAATCTTCCTCAGGGATTTAGCAACAGGAACACACTTTTAAATATATCAGTGAAAATATACATATTTGTGTAGATTTTAGATTTATGTACGTGGACTCACCCTTTTTCTTTCATTGTGTTGTCTTTCTCTAATACAACTGTAGTGACATATTTTCACCCTAACTGGTCTTAACTGCTGAGATGAAAGCCAGCAAGCCCTGCAAATGACTGGCAGAACAACTGACCTGTGGCAATGCTGGAGGCATATGTGGTTAACCAGTTCCTCTCAGCAAGTCACGCACTCACAGCATATTTTTTTTTATGGGACTATGGAGGGTGGGATGGAGTAGCAGTAGCAAAGAGACTTGGCAGAAAAAAGACGAAGTGTGTGTTCTTGTTCAGAAGTGTGAGTTACTTATCCTAGCAAGAGATGGAAAACCTGTCTTCACTTGATTTTTTGTTTTAATTTAATTTTTTTCTCTTTCCAGGTTACTTCCATGGTGCCTTGCATTTTTAATTTAATGGTGTGTATCAACAGGCTTTTCTTCCCTTCCAAAATTACTGTTCAAGAAACCTCATCTTTGTCTGCAAAGTAACGCAAAATTACTCTATATTCTTTGAAAGCTAAAAGGGGAATTTATTTCCATGAGTGCACCCAGCAACATAAACTACAAATGTACTGGATGACAGCATCAGAAGTATCTATTATCCTCAATAAAATGTCTTTATCTGCTACTTAGCTCTACTGGAAATAATAACTTTTGGGGTTGTAAAGTGCTTTGCAGGCTTTCGTTTTAGTCTTCTCCCCTTCCTTTTAGAAATTCACTGAGGTAGGAAAAAGCTGAAGAGGTCTATCTGTCAGCTGATGTCCACCATCAAGGAATAAAGTGGGGATTTGCAGAGCTTCGTGATCTGCTGTTGAACAATGACTAGAAGAGCAGGCTAGATTTTGCCATTTCATTTCCAACTGATTAAGAATGTTTAATAAAAACAGGAGTTAGTGTTGCAGTTCTCCTATGAAACCTTGCAAGGGAAAGGCCATGAATTATTTGAAAGTGCTAAGGATCTTGCTGGGACAACAATGGTATTTCTGAATTTTGGCTACTGAGAGATCCTGCTGATATGATAATCCTGTGCTGAAACACAAAGAGATCTGACTACGGATACCTCGCAGCTTAATATTCAGCATCTCCCCACTGAATCACCTGTTGGACTGGAGGCTTTCCAATGCCAAGTACATATGAAAGTGTTTCACCTCTTCTCAAAAGGCTGTAAGAGGGTGTAAACTTCCCCGCTCATTTTTTTGTAAGTCAATTTTTTCCACTTACTGTGACTAACCATGTGTGTCCTACCACATGTTCAAACAACAGTCTTAACAGAAGTTTGCTCTGGAGTCTTTATCAAGGGATAATGCCTGTTAATTATTTTTTAAATGGGCAATTTAATGCTTTCAGCTTCTCCTGTGTAGGGCATGTTCAGGTTCTTCTTGTACATAGATTTGCAACATTAGTTCCAGGACTGTCTCAAGGGAAAAAAAGAATCACAGGAAAGGTAAAAGCAGCAGCATACATACTAAAGTAGAACACCTACCTGATCTTAGCACTCTTACAAGTAGGTTGCCACATAACAGGCAAATCATGACGCCTCACAGCACTCTCCAGTTCTGTTTCAGCTCCGAATCAACCTGGATGGACCATGGCCCTTTGAGGGCCTTGGTAATGCTCCATGGCAAGTGAATTCAGTTGGAGCAGCGGGCAAGTGACGGGGCTCCTGGACCCATATGTAGCACAAGGAACATGTACACGGAGGTGGATTGGGGGAGAGGAGATGGGGAGGTGGGGTGAGGCTAACAGAAGACACACTCAGGAATTTGGGACTTTGTACTGTTTTTATCAGGACATTCAGAGGAATTGTCTGAAAGCTTGACTGTCCCGATGTTTAGTACCACTAGCTAAACCTCTGGTCCTCCATTCACTTTACTTCATCTCCTAGTTCTTGATATCATGACAGCCCTGGTCTTACAGCTTGCTCTGCCTGGGGTAGAGAAGACCCTGCAGGATAAAGGCTGATTTCAAGAGACCTGCTTCTGCTTTGTGCCAGCTGCCACTGTTCGCTATTTGGACTGTGCCAGGCACTGTACATACCTAAAAAAGAATCCCAATTGAATGGTTTATATATGCCAAACATGCTTGTGTTTACAAACCATAGTCTGCGTCTTTATTAGATCACAGAGAGTTAGATCTTACTGAGTTTAGTCCTGGTGGCCTCATGATGATGATCACCTTCTTGTAAAGGTTGTGTCATCTCCCTCACTCCCAGGGGGTAAGTTACACTTCTGTTTCAGGGAATACAGGAAGTCTAACATAAAGCACATGGAACTCTTAAGGGCATGCAGTAACATGCCCTTCTAAATGGGCATGTATCTGACAAAAAAACATATATTTCAGAGATCAAGGTATTTCAGGCATGGTCACATGCTTTATTTGTTTCCAAAGAATTGTGAATTTTTTTGGCCCTGTGATATTAAAGCAATTAATCTGGTGGCCTATACAATTCACTGCATACATAGCAACCTTCTCAGCTGTGGACCAGAAGATTAAGTTGATTTTTTTTTTTTTTAATTTTTTTTTTCTAACTTCAGTTCCACTCTTATAAGTTGAACCGATTTATAACCCCTAAGGCTTTTGATCCTATAAATCATGAACTAACAACAGTTTAAGATAAAATAAACAGCCTATCTTCTCCTGGAGATCTGCCAAAAGAAGAACGTTTGCCACAAACCCTGCTCCTTCCCTAGAATTTCAGTCATTCAGATTAAGGCTATGAGAGGAATAAAATAAACAACCCTCAGTACTGATAGCCAAACCAAACTATGCATTACTTTAGCTACTTTCACTCCATGAATATGCTGCTGAAGCAAAAACACGTATCATGCCTCCCTATGAAATCTGTATAGAAAGTCACAGTGAAATATTAATGCTCCTTCCCTAAATTCTGTGCAGTGGGATTCAAAGGTTTTTGTAGGCTTGACAGAGAAGATATAAAGCTGCATCACATTTTTCTGCAACTCAACCCTTTCATAAAGGCTTTGACATTTTCCATAATAAACTCCCTACATTAAGGAAAGTTGTGTCCTATTTTCTAAGGAAAGAGGCATTGCAGTGATACTTCTCTTTCTGAAGAAAGCAGTTTTCCCCAATTGGTCTGAAGGTCTTGAATATTGATCTTTGTCAATTCTTACTCTTAGCTTTTGTAACTTTGTAATTTGTATTGTATTTACAGCGGAAAATAAATGGCAATCCGAATCCTCACAAAATGAGGGTTTTAAAGGGAAATTTTTGGATATTACTTCTAAGTAATATGCTGAATTTACATTATGTCCCCGTTGTTTTGTCCGGAGAAAGAAATGTGCCTCTCTGTGGGGAAGAGAACCATAGAGAGTTTCACTGTATAAAATAAGCTGTAAATCTAGCACTGAGCAACGACTCATAGGATTGGGAAAATAATCTTCTCACGTCAGTCAAGGATTCATCTGAAGGTACACAAATTACAGATCTAAGTGCTTTTTAAAAGTATACTTAAGCACCATAATATGTTTAATATATGGTAATATACAACAAAAACCAAGGACAGGCAGTATTAGAGGGAGGGGTGCAGAATGAGCTCATCACATATATAAAGGTGGTCCAAGTCAAATTTTGGCTACACCAAGTTTCATATGCTATTCCTGCAGAGGCAGAGATTTTGTTTTGAGATGAACAAGAAGCCTGGACATCCAGGCAGAAATCAAAATACCCAGTTGAGAGTTCAAGACTGCTGCTTGAGATTTCTGTCAAATGCTGGACTTGTTCCAGATGATCTGTGTGATGAAGACAAAACCAGTTCCAGAGAAACACAGGAAATCCTACAACAACTGTAACTTGGAGACGCTTTCAGATGCGCCTGGTAAAAACAGTCAAGACAGCACTACAACCAAGGATCTTGCCAGTAAAAGTAGTAATCCTCATCTCAACTTTTAGACAAAAGTGACAATTAAAGTCAGACTAGGCAGTCTGAGCTGTACCTTGCCGACGCCGACTGTTGAGTTTCCTAAAGCAGGTGCCCTCCACAAGTCGATTGAGACGTTGCTGCTTTATCAGTTCTAAGATCTCAGGCTGAATCTTCTCTTTTAGTTCCCTTGGGAAGAGAGAAAGTAGGCACTTGTCAAATTCAATCAAAGACCATCCTCTTTCCTCTGAGATAGATACCCAGAAGATGTTTCTGCAAGGATTTTGAGGGGGACGACACTACAGGCAGGTCCAGGTCAGAATCTAGTCTGCTCCAGGAAAAAAAAAAAAAAAAAAATTCTTTTTACCAAGAGTGGGAGTCAGGATATCTCTGTTATAGACATCTCGGTGCTACGACATCTGTGTATGACTCAGGCAAGTCACTTATTTGTTTCTTACTTTACTCATCTAAAAATAACTCTTGCTATAATGTACCAACAAGGTTTTTCTGTGGCAGATAATGCTCTTTCATCGTAGGAGCACTGTGAAGTTTATTTGAGGGTCTGGCGCCTTTTGTTGCACGATCCTCCACTGGTATACTTTACTAGCACTATTATTTAGGACAACACAAGGAGGCTAAAACACATTTTGAAACAACAATAAAAAACAGCGAGCAATAGTGACCAGCGCTATATGCTTGCTCTTAATTCCACGTCATTCCATTAATTCATTATTATCAGAATTTTGTGGCAGAATAACCCATGACTAGGGTTAGTCTCAACGATCAAACTTCACCCTTGCCCAGGAGTGCAGAAACCCACAGTGCATTTAGAAATAATATTATATATCCTTCAGAAAAATCCATTTTCTACATCCTACTTTGATAAGAGTTCAACATGTCAAGAACTAGGCAGAAAACGTATGCACATAATATTTAAAGTTTGATTTCCTATACCATCACATGGTTTCACAGATGTCTGAATGCATCAGTTATATCCTCACTTGGATTCATTAAGAATACATAAAAGACATAAAAGACAGGTTTAAACATCGACTCGACAGCAAGCCTAGTAAGATTAAAAAAATAACTGGATGTGTAGAGATTTTATAAAATATGAAGTGTGTCAGAACCGTAACTTTGCATTGCTGTGTAAATTAGGTAATACCAAAAATCATTCTGTCGGGCAGTATGTTCCAGCAATCGTCATGAAAAGGAAGCAAAGCTGTGGTATCCCATAGAGACAACACAAACTTCTCTCTTCAAAACCTCGGGAGCCCAGTCTCTGCTATTTCCACATTCATTTGGATCCTATACCTTTGGTCTGCCAGACCCCCACTGAAACCACTGGAAGTTCTCTGCTGGAAAGATCAGGCCTTTAAACAAAAATGCCATCTTTCCCCCAGGTATTAACAAAATGGTTGGAGTTCTTGATGCATAACCCACTGCATATTTACAAGCTGTGAAAATCAAGCTGGTCAAAAATCAAGGAACCATTGTAACTATAGAAACAGGCCACCTTTTGGAAATGTATTATTAGTTCTTTAGGATAATTTTCAAGCATTGTTGTTTTCTCATTGGGAACTAAGATATGAATATGCTGAATGGTTAAATACTGTCATTAAAAGAATTGTGTGCTTGAATAAACGTCTTGCCTTTACTGAAGTGATGAGCTTACCCGTTCCTCAGGTAAGAGCTGGGAACAGGGACTGAGGGGAAAGGTGTTAAAATACAGTGTGGATTACTCGGCAGTCCAGGCTACAGACTAAATCTCCAGCTGGACCGATTTCAAACATTCAAGACTGGTATAAACATCAGTTTGATATTTAGGTAGTTCAATTCAGAAATTGGATAGTTACCATTAAATAGATGTTAAAGATATAGCATCATATTTGTAAGACACTACTGAAAAAACCAAAAATGAAGGGGTCACCCAGCATATTAACATCTGACTGTTTGCTCATAGTATTCCCTCTTCCGTCCTCCAAAGCCCCATCTGCCCTTTACAAACCAGAAAAAGAGAAGGATTTTTAACAAATCCAAACATAAACAGGTGATCTTCTCTGAAGTACTTCACTGTCTAAGGCAGACTTTCCATAGGAGGAAGGGAGGTAGGAAAGAAGGGACACCTTCCAACTCTTTGCTGAGGCACTGGAGTCCCTCTCCACATGTGCATTTATTTGCTCTCACAACCACGAAGCTCAGAGGTAGCACTCTCTTCTGTTTTACAGTCTCCATACCTGAACACACAGACGTTGTGGAGACAACTCATTAATCCATGGAGAGACAGTCTTCAGTGACTTTGGACTTTAGTGACACCCCATAAATCCATACATCCCTTGCCATGGTCACCTGCACTTGCTGTCCACAGCAGCTCATAACAACACATGGTTACTCTGACTTGTATGGTTTTCAGATACCATGACTCCAGATACATTTTTGCAAGGTGATCCTGCCACTTAGTGCTCCTCACTGTCAAGGTTTCTCTTCCACCACTTCAAGGTGACAGAAATCGGGCAGAACAATCAAACCATGGCACACAGTTAAACAAAAGATGTACTGCTCTGAATCTTTATATTTTCTTCAGAAAGCCATCTGAAGGCAAGGGAGTTCAGTTCCTCAGGGTCAGTGTCTAAAGACAGGAGGATTCGGAAAATCCCTCTACAAGAAATAGGTCCTCCTGCCTAATTTTAAAATGAAACAGGAGCAATGAGCTAAAGGAAGCTCATAAATGCAAATATGTTTTGTGAAAATTTTATTTCTTGTCCTTCAAGATGACATTGGCTTAACAGTTTGTGCCTTGTGAAGAGAGAGAGAACAAACTTGGAAAGTCTAAAGAGACAGTGGCTTTAAAAATTGCTATTAGTTTCCTACTGTGTTCCTATCACGTAAGAATGGCAAAAGTTAGCGGGCTGGTAAGACAGAAGGGTTGAGGGAACGACACAGTAATATATATGATTGTTAATTTTCTGATTTCACTGGTCTCGGCACTATAGGCAATACTGACATCAGTTACTTGCTTTTAAAATAACAGACCTGAATTGTCGGCAAATCTGAAAATCATTAGAAATTATTTTTAAATTATTCAAATGATACTAGTTCTTCTTCAACACAAGTTATATCTGTCCTCAGCTTTTACCTTTCCAGCTTATAGTTAAGACTCTTTCTTGTTAGCTGTTTTCTTTCCAGGATGGGGCATATTACAGACGTTTAAAACATTACAACACAACAGGAAAGTAATCCCAGAACTGCTTTCATGTGTTTTGTACTTTTATCTTTCTGGCTTGTAGCTATGCCCTCTCCTAATCACTTCACGCATTCAGAGCGGGCATTAATGACTCCTCCTAACATTGCAGAGAAATCTGTAAGATAAAAAGCCAAAAAACATCCACATCCCTCCCTCTATTTCCCTGTATGTTGCTGATTTTGACACAGATGTTACTTAGCAATGGCTTCCTAACTGACATTAACTGTCCCTTAAACAGCAAACCTCCACTTAGACATCAGACCTGTATCCAGTATTAACCCATCACTGTTTCCATTTAATGTGTCAAGGAGATCTCTGGTCCTCTGCAGGCCCACAGGACTCCTAGACACCTTCTTCCACAGCCATTCAAAATGAACCAGTGATACTTGATCATTTTGTAGTGGAATGGCTGTTTGGATGATCAATAACGATCCAGGAATCTTGAATCATTCTGCTCTGAAGGACTTTTATTTTCCCTAACGAAAAGTAGAGACTGAAAAAACTTCATCTCACATGATACAACAATGCTCATATAAAAGAAACAACTAATCCTTGCAAAACAAGGTTGTTGTAGTTATGAGGATCTAAGGCAACACCTTCCAGCTTACATTCAAATGCAACTTTAACTGAAGCTTCACTCAACCAGCAGGTTGAAAACTTCGTACAATGAACAGCAGAAGAAAGACTTCTATCATGTTCAAGGCAGGAAAAACCATCATCTGATTGCCGTATTCTCATGCAGAATTGAACAAGGCCTGCCGACTTTACATTCACGTTGTGTGCCATCTCTTTTAGCATATCTGCAAGGCTTTAAAATATACAGCACAGCCACAATTGCTCT